AGGGCCAGTGTGTCATTGCCTGTGGTTTCAGAGACACGAGTGGTCCAACGATACCACTTTCAGGACGGCCGGCATTGCGGCTCCTCGCCTCTCCGATCGCAGCGGCTCGGGCACGAAACGTTTCCTTTTAATTAAAACGCCAAAGGATTCACGTGTTCGGCAGGCTTCAAATGCTTTCCCGGTTGACACCAGGCGCCGGGATGGGAATCAAAGTGCAAATGCACTTTGTGCAAAGGCGGCTTTTTAGGAACGGGTTGGGCACAAAGTGGCGCCTCCCTTTTGCTGTCTGAAGACTTTTAGTTTTTCCTACAGGAAATTGCAAAAGTAATGGATCGTGTTTTCTGCTGCGCGTTAAGAACCCTGTTAGATCAAACCAGAAACTCATATACCCATCACTCTGTACCCTAAATGGCCTTAGATGGGTCTACACAAGGCATTGGGAAACTCCGGCCCTCCAGGTATTTTGGACTGCAACTCCCACAATTCCTAACAGCCGGTAGGCTGTTAGGAATTGTGGGAGTTGCAGTCCAAAACACCTGGAGGGCCAAAGTTTGCCCATGCCTGGTCTACACTGCTCACAAGGCCATATAATGCAGTTGGAACTGAATTTAATTGCATAATAAATAAATAAATAATATATTCAGTACAGACCCATATAATGTAGCTGAATGTGCTGAACCGCATTATATGGTCAGTGTAGACCCATATAATGCACTTCAACTGCATTATATGTTAGTGTAGACCCTACAATGCACTTGAAGGTATTGAACCACATTATATGGTCAGTGTAGAGCCATATAATTCAGTGGAGCTGCAATGAACTGCATTCTATGTTAGTGTAGACCCTACAATGCAGTTGAATGCATTGAACCACATTATATGCCAGTGTAGACCCATATAATGCAGTTGAATGTGCTGAACTGCATTATATGGTCATTGTAGTCTCATATAATGCAGTGGAACTGCATTGAACTGCATTATATGGCCAGTGTAGACCTGTATTATGCAGTTGAATGCACCAAATCACATTATATGGTTAGTGTAGACCCATATAATGCAGTTCAACTGCATTATATAATTAGTGTAAACCCTACAATGCAGTTGAATGCTTCGAACCAGTTTATATGGTCAGTGTAGACCCATATAATGCAGCTGAATGGCATTGAACTGGATTATATCATCAGTGTAGACCCATATAATGCAGTTGAACTGCGTTGAATTGCTTTATATGGTCAGTGTAGACACAGGTGAATGTGCTGAACTGCATTATATGGTCAGTGTAGACTCATAATGCAGTGGAACTGCATTGAACTGAATTATATGGCCAGTGTAGACCCGTATAATGCAGTTGAATGCACTGAACCACATTATATGGTCAGTGTAGACCCTACAATGCAGTTGAATGCACTGAACCACATTATATGGCCAGTGTAGACCCGTATAATGCAGTTGAATGCACTGAACCACATTAGATGGTCAATGTAGATCTATATAATGCAGTTGAACTGCATTATATGGTTACTGTAGAACCTACAATGCAGTTGAATGCACTGAACTGCATCATATGGTCAGTGGAGACCCATATAATGCAGATGAACGGCATTGAACTGCATTATATGGTCAGTGTAGATACAGATAATGCAGTTGAGTGTGCTGAACTGCATTATATGGTCAGTGTAGACCCATATAATACAGTGGAATGCATTGAATCGCATTGTATGGTCAGTAGAGACCCATATAATGCAGATGAACATAATTGAACTGCATTATATCATCAGTGTAGACCCATATAATTCAGTTGAATGCATTGAATCGCATTATATGGTTGGCGTAGACCCAAATAATGTCGTTGAATTGCATTGATTGCATTGTATGGTCAGTGCAGACTCACATAATAAAGATTAACTGTATTATACGGTCAGTATAGACGCATATAATGCAGTTGAATTGCGCTGATATGCATTATATGGTCAGTGTTGACCCACACAATGCAGTTCGAACTGTATTCTAAGGCAGTGTAGAGTCCACCCTTTGCCTCTTGGCTGCTCTTTTGGCCCACAGCTCCCAGAATCCCCCAGCAAACAGGCCAATATGGGGATTCTGGGAGCGATAGTCCTCCTCTTCCCAAAGCAGAGTTCTTGGAAGTGCTGGGCATGGGAGAAGTTGCCTTGGGCACAGCCTCGGAAATGCTGAGCTGTTCCTTCCCTTTGCAACGGAGCCAGGAAAGAACGGGAAGTCGGGCGGAGGATGCTCCGTGGATTGGTTTGGGAGGGTTGCGCCAGGGTGCCCTTCCCCGCGGCGGGTGACAGGCGCTGGAATGGTGGCGCCGTCCCCGGAAATGCTTAATTAACTCCTTGGGCTGGGTCCCACTTTCCAGTAACATCCCGGGGAACCGGTTCTGAGCTGTTTACTTGCCATTGCAGGCTGGCGTTGGCTGGGAGGAGAGGACCCCAGGAAATGTGCCAACGGAGGCCCTTCCTGAGGACCGGCCTCTTATCAAGGCCAATTGGTTCTTGAGGATGGCTTTCCTGTTCAATCAATCAGGAGGAGATTTGCTCATCTCGCTTTGATAAATAAAACATTAGGGAGACTTGCCAATTCTCCATTATTGAGGCGGTTTGGCTTTGTACTGTAGAAGACCCTCCCTAAAGAGATCTGTATGGCCATCTGTCAGGGGTGATTTGAATGCAATATTCCTGCTTCTTGGCAGGGGGTTGGACTGGATGGCCCATGAGGTCTCTTCCAACTCTTTGATTCTATGATTTTATGATTCTATCTTTTAGATATATGTGGTGGTTTGGAGAGTCATAATTCAAGTCCTGAAGCCAATATGCTGCCTTGGCTGGATGGCCATCTGTTGGGAGGGCTTTGTTGGTGTTTTCCTGGATGGTCTTTAGGGTTCCTTAGTGGAATATAACCTGCCCTCAAAACAGGTGTAGTCTCCTTCTCTGGAGGTTCTTATGCAGAGGCTGGATGGCCATCTGTCGGGAGGGCTTTGATGGTGTCTTCCTGTGTAGAAGGAGGTTGGGCTGGATGGCCTTTAGAATTATCTAGTGGAATATAAACTGCCTTCAAGTCTGGTGTAGTCTCCTTCTCTGGAGGTTCTTATGCAGAGGCTCTGTGGCCCTCTCTCTGGAGGGTTTTGGTGGTGTCTTCCTGTATAGGAGGAGGTTGGACTGGATGGCCTTTAGGGTTCCCTAGTGGAATATAAACTGCCTTCAAGTCTGGTGTAGTCTCCTCCTCAGGAGGTTCTTAAGCAAAGGCTGGATGGCCATCTGTTGGGAGGGTTTTGATGTTGTCTTCCTGTGTTGAAGGAGGTTGGGCTGGATGGCCTTTAGGGTTATCTAGTGGAATATCTAGTGGTATCTAGTGGAAAACTGCCTTCAAGTCTGGTGTAGTCTCCTTCTCTGGAGGTTCTTAAGCAAAGGCTGGATGGCCATCTGTCGGGAGGGCTTTGATGATGTCGTCCTGCATAGCAGGGAGTTAGACTGGATGGCCTTTAGCATTCCCTAGTGGAATATAAACTGCCTTGGAAACCAGTGAAGTCTTGTTCTTTTGAGGTTTTTAATGAAAGACTGGATGGCCATCTGTTGGGAGGGCTTGGATAGTGTCTTCCTGCATGACAGAAAAGGGTTGGACTGGATGGTCTTTAGGGTTCCCTAGTGGAATATAAACTGCCTTCAAGTCTGGTGTAGTCTCCTTCTCTGGGGGTTCTTAAAGCAAAGGCTTGATGGCCATCTGTTGGGAAAGCTTTGATGGTGTCGTCCTGCATAGCAGGGGGTTGGGCTGGATTTTCTTTAGGGTTCTCTAGTGGAAAATAAACCGCCTTGGAAACCAGTGAAGTCTTGTTCTTTCAAGGTTTTTAATGAAAGACTGGATGGCCATCTGTTGGGAGGGCTTGGATATTGTTATATTTTGTATTGTTTGTTGTGTGTTTTGGGCATCTAATTGTGCCTTTCCTGTAAGCCGCCCTGAGTCCCCCTCGGGGTGAGAAGGGCGGGGTATAAGTAGATGAAATAAATAAAAATAAATAAATATTGTCTTCCTGCATGACAGAATAGGGTTGGACTGGATGGTCTTTAGGGTTCCCTAGTAGAATATAACCTGCCCTCAAAACAGGTGTAGTCTCCTTCTCTGGGGGTTCTTATGCAGAGGCTCTGTGGCCATCTGTCGGGAGGGCTTTGATGGTGTCGTCCTGCATAGCAGGGGGTTGGACTGGATGGCCTTTAGGGTTCTCTAGTGGAAACCAGTGAAGTCTTGTTCTTTCGAGGTTTTTAATCAAAGACTGGATGTCCATCTGTTGGGAGGGCTTGGATAGTGTCTTCCTGCATGACAGAAAAGGGTTGGACTGGATGGTCTTTAGGGTTCCCTAGTGGAATATAAACTGCCCTCGAGACTGGTGTAGGTTCCTTCTCAGGAGATTCTTAAGCAGAGCCTGGATGGCCATCTGCTGGGAAGGCTTAGATGGTATCTTCCTGTGTAACAGGAGATTGAACTGGATGGCTTTAGGGTTCTCTAGTGGAAAATAAACTGCCTTGAAGGTCTGGTGTAATCTCCTTCTCAGGAGGTTCTTAAGCAGAGGCTGGATGGCCATCTGTTGGGAGGGCTTTGATGGTGTCTTCCTATGTAGCAGGGGGTTGGACTGGATGGCCTTTAGGGTTATCTAGTGGAATATAAACTGCCTTGGAAACCGGTGAAGTCTTGTTCTTCGGATGCTTTTGATCAGAGACTGGATGGCCATCTGTCGGGAGGGCTTGGATGGTGTTTTCCTGTGTGATAAGGAGTTGGGCTGGATGGTCCTTAGGTTCTCTTCCAACTTTATAATTCTATGAATCCTACTTTGGTTTTCTGTCTAGGTCTTGAGAATCCAAACAAAGCAACCAATTCCCTATCGATGGGAGACTCTCCTTTGAATGGTCAATAATATATCTTGTAGGAGGTTAGACTAGATGACCTTTAGGGTTTTTGACCAATTCTACCTCGTTTTCCCCTCCTTCTAGTCTCCTTGGGGGGCTATGCCCTGTGGAAAGATCCAGAGCCTTCTGTGGCTGAGCCCCCGTCCTACCCGATGCCCTTGGACATGACGATACGGAACACGGTCTACACGGCCGCCCAGCCGCATTGCGCAGCTCAGATCCCAAGCGGGACGCAGCAAGATGCGGAGTCCCTCTTCCTACGGCCCAAGATGAAGGTAAGGATACGGGATGGCAATAGGTGCCGCTCTGGTAGGAAGGTAATGGCGCTCCATGCTGGCCACATGACCTTGGAGGTGTCTACCGACAGCGCCGGCTCTTTGGCCTAGAAATGGAGATGAGCACCAACCCCTAGAGTTGGACACGACTGGGAAAGCCTTGACCTAGGATGATGCTGATGTGCTGCTGCCCTTCTCTGCAGGTGACCCAAGGAGATGCGCCCGGAGAGCAGTTCTCCTGCCCATATTGCCAGAAGGGCTTCTCCTACCAGCGCATGCTGAACCGCCACCTGAAATGCCACAGCCAGGTGAAGCGCCACCTTTGCCCTTACTGCAACAAAGGCTTCAACGACACCTTTGACCTCAAGCGCCACGTCCGGACGCACACAGGTAGGTCTCGTTGGAAACAGCAACCTTCTACAAGCCTCCTATACTAGCTATTTGTTATGTTTATAAATCAGATWGCTCACTATATTGTATGTATGTTTTGATATGTAGTTTTCCCTTAGASTCTGWAGTTCCACCCACAACCTCAGACAWCTMAGAGTTGTGGGTGGAACTACAGACCATCTGTAGTCTGGGACTACTCAGACRGAGACTCCGTTTTAGAATCTGGGACTACTCAGACTGAGACTCCGTTTTAGAATCTGGGACTACTCAGACTGAGACTCCATTTTAGAATCTGGGACTACTCAGACTGAGACTCCGTTTTAGAATCTGGGACTACTCAGACTGAGACTCTGTTTTAGAATCTGGGACTATTCAGACTGAGACTCTGTTTTAGAATCTGGGACTATTCAGACTGAGACTCCGTTTTAGAATATGGGACTATTCAGACTGAGACTCCATTTTAAAATCTGGGACTACTCAGACTGAGACTCCGTTTTAGAATCTGGGACTATTCAGACTGAGATTCCGTTTTAGAATCTGAGACTATTCAGACTGAGAGTCCGTTTTAGAATCTGGGACTACTCAGACTGAGACTCCGTTTTAGAATCTGGGACTACTCAGACTGAGACACCGTTTTAGAATCTGGGCTACTCAGACTGAGACTCTGTTTTAGAATCTGGGCTACTCAGACTGAGACTCTGTTTTAGAATCTGAGAATATTCAGATTGAGACTTTGTTTTAGAATCTGGGACTATTCAGACTGAGACTCCGTTTTAGAATCTGGGACTATTCAGACTGAGACTCCGTGTGCATGGATTGGGGTATTCTAGGTAATGGAGAGCTGAATCTCACCCCTTCTCTCCCTCCCGCCAGGTGTGCGGCCCTACAAGTGCGACCTCTGTGACAAAGCCTTCACCCAACGCTGCTCCTTGGAGTCCCACCTGAAGAAGATCCACGGGGTGCAGCAGAGCTATGCCTACAAGGAGCGCCGGGCCAAGCTGTACGTCTGCGAGGACTGCGGCTCCACCGCCGACAGCCAGGAGGGCCACCTTCAGCACCTGCAGGAGCGCCATCCCGACAGCCCTCTGCTGCGCAAGGCCTCACGCAAGGCCTCCCCATCACTCCACGGCACGGCCGAGCCGGGCCCCATCACGCTGCTGCAAGGGGCAGGCTGCCTCTGAAAGTGCTGTGTGTGTTTCGGAGGGTCTTAAAATGGGTCTTCCCACCGAAGGCTTGCCATTGGTTCACCTCCAGGGTATTTTCAGAGTTCAATATGACCCTCCAAGCCCATGGGATGAATGGCAAACGCAATGAAAACAAATGAATTTCTTGCATGGACCAACTCATTGGAGAGCTAGGATCTGAGTTCCAGTCTGGCCCAGTTCCTTAAAGTGTTCAGCATCAAGCCTTTTTTAGGATTCAACACAGCGCTCCAAGSCAATGGGACAAATGGCAAACACAATGCAAACAAATGGACTTCTTGCATGAACACAGCTCGTTGGAGAGCTAGGATCTGAGTTCCGGTCTGGCCCAGTTCCTTAAAGTGTTCAGGATCAAACCTTCATTCCTTTCTCTTGGAATCCATACTCACAGCTCAGGGATTTTTAGTATTCAACACAGCTTTCCAAGCCAATGGGACAAATGGCAAACACAATGCAAACAAACGGACTTCTTGCATGGATCTAGCTTGTTGGAGAGCTAGGATCTGAGTTCCAGTCTGGCCCAGTTCCTTAAAGTGTTCAGGATTAAGCCTTCATCCCTTTCTCTTGGAATCCATCCTCACAGCTCAGGGATTTTTAGGATTCAACACAGRTTTCCAAACCAATGGGACGAATGGCAAACACAATGCAAACAAATAGACTTCTTGCARGGACCRAGCTCGTTGGAGAGCTAGGATCTGAGTTCCAGTCTGGCCCAGTTCCTTAAAGTCTTCAGGATCAAGCCTCCATCATTTTCTCTTGGCATCCATTCTCACAACTCAGGGATTTTTAGGATTCAACACAGCTTTCCAAGCCAATGGGACAAATGGCAAACACAATGCAAACAAATTGATTTCTTGCACAGACCCAGCTTGTTGGAGAGCTAGGATCTGAGTTCCAGTCTGGCCCAGTTCCTTAAAGTGTTCAGGATCAAGTCTCCATCCTTTTCTCTTGGCAAAGATATCCATCCTCCAAGTCAGGGATTTTGGGGATTCAACACAGACCTCCAAACCAATGGGACAAATAGCAAAAGCAATGCAAACAAAGATGACCAGTGGATTTCTTGCATGGACCTTGCTCCTTGGAGAGCTAGAATCTGACTTCCAGCCGGGACCCAGTTCCATAAAATGTTCAAGGATCCCCTTCTCATGGTAGGGATTTTCAGAGGTCAATAAGACTCCCCAAAGCAATGGGACAAATGGAAAACACCATGCAAACCAATGGATTTCTTGCATGGATGCAACTCCTTGGAGAGCTAGGATCTGAGTTCCAGTCTGGCCCAGTTGCTTAAAGCATCCAGGAATGGCAAACATCAAGTAAACAAAGCAGATCAATGAATTTCCTTGTATGGACCCAGGTCCCCAGAGAGCCAAAGTCGGTGGGATGATGAAGTTTAAGGCTCAAGGAGGAAAGACTACTTCTTTTTTGATGTCCATCCCCTCCTCTTGGTGAAGAGAAGCTTCTATCATTTAACATGATTTTGATGGTGTTCGTTCTCATGAGCTAAAATCAAGCAAGGAGGCAACACTAGCCCTTTAAGAGACCATTGTGAATACACGCAAAATTATTTTCCCCTCCCCATCTCTCTTAGTGCCTATGGGGGTATTTTCCCCATCCCTTTAGTGACCCCAAAGGGACCAGATTCCCTTTGATTTGCGGTGCTAAGCAGGGTCAGCCCTGGTTGGGACTTGGATGGGAGTCCGCCAAGTGCAGCGAGCTCTGTTTCAACCATTTCTGATCATTCCTTACCCAGGAAGGCCCCTATGGGCTTCATGGTGCCTTAAAGTCATCAGACACCCTTTGTTTATGTGAGCTAAGCAGGGCCAGCCCTGGTTGGGACTTGGATGGGAGTCTGCCAAGGGCAATGAGCTCTGTTTCAACCATTTCCAATTATACCTAGGAAGGTCCCTATAGGCTTCATGGTGCCTTAAAGTCACCAAACACCCTTTGCTTATAGGAGCTAAGCAGGGCCAGTCCTGGTTGGTAACTGGACGGGAGTCCGCTGAGTGCAGTGAGCTCTGTTTCAACCATTTCGGATCGTTCTTTCCCCAGGAAGGTCTCCATAGGCTTCATGTGCCCTAAAGTCACCAAAATGCCCTTTGCTTATGGGAGCTAAGCAGGGCCACCCCAGGTTGGTACCTGGATGGGAGTCCGCTGAGTGCAGTGAGCTTACCCAGGAAGGTCTCCATAGGTTTCATGGTGCCCTAAAGTCAACAAATGCCCTTTGTTTATGTGAGCTAAGCAGTGCCAACCCTGGCTGGTACTTGGATGGGAGTCTGCTGAGTGCAGTGAGCTTACCCAGGAAGGTTCCCATAGGCTTCATGGTGCCCTAAAGTCACCAAACGCCCTTTGTTTATGTGAGCTAAGCAGTGCCACCCCTGGTTGGTACCTGGATGGGAGTCCGCTGAGTGCAGTGAGATTACCCGGGAAGGTCTCCTAGGCTTCATGGTGCCCTAAAGTTACCAAAATGCCCTTTGCTTATGGGAGCTAAGCAGGGCCAGCCCTGGTTGGTAACTGTATGGGAGTCCGACAAGTGCAGCGAGCTCAGTTTCAACCATTTCTGATCATTCCTTACCTAGGAAGGCCCCTGTAGGCTTCATGGTGCCCTAAAGTCACCAAACACCCTTTGTTTATGTGAGCTAAGCAGTGCCACCCCTGGTTGGTACCTGGATGGGAGTCCGCCGAGTGCAGTGAGCTTACCCAGGAAGGTTCCCATAGGTTTCATGGTGTCCTAAAGTCACCAAAACACCCTTTGCTTATGGGAGCTAAGCAGGGCCAGCCCTGGCTGGTACCTGGATGGGAGTCCGCTGAGTGCAGTGAACTTGCCCAGGAAGGTTCCCATAGGCTTCATGATACCTTAAAGTCACCAAAACGCCCTTTGCTTATGGGAGCTAAGCAGGGCCAGCCCTGGTTGGTACCTGGATGGGAGTCCGCCGAGTGCAGTGAGCTCTGTTTCAACCATTTCGGACCCAGGAATCTCCCTATAGGTTTCATGGTGCCCTAAAGTCACCAAACACCCTTTGTTTATGTGAGCTAAGCATTGCCATCCTTGGTTGGTACCTGGGTGGGAGTCCGCTGAATGCAGTGAGGTTACCCAGGAAGGTCTCCATAGGCTTCATGGTGCCCTAAAGTCACCAAAACGCCCTTTGTTTATGTGAGCTAAGCAGTGCCAGCCCTGGTTGGTACCTGGATGGGAGTCCCCCGAGTGCAGTGAGCTTACCCAGGAAGGTCTCCATAGGTTTCATGGTGCCCTAAAGTCACCAAACGCCCTTTGCTTATGTGAGCTAAGCAGGGCCAGCCCTGGTTAGTACCTGGATGGGAGTCTGCCGAGTGCAGTGAGCTTACCCAGGGTCTCCATAGGTTTCATGGCACCATAAAGTCACCAAACGCCCTTTGCTTATGGGAGCTAAGCAGGGCCAGCCCTGGCTGGTACCTCGATGGGAGTCCGCCGATTGCAGTGAGCTCTGTTTCAACCATTTCGGATTGTTCTTTACCCAGGAAGGTCCCTATAGGCTTCATGGTGCCCTAAAGTCACCAGACATCATTTGTTTATGTAAGCTAAGCAGGGCCAGTCCTGGTTCAGACTTGGGTGGGAGTCCACCAAGTCATACCAGTTGCAGCAAGCTCTGTTGCCACCATCCCTGAGCATTCCTTGCCTATGAAATTCAAGCTATTTTGAATTTGCATACACACATTAGGTCTGATCTTTGTCTCTTTCCACCCAATTGCTGCCTTTAAGCAAACCCTATGGAATAACTTTCCCAAGAACGATGTTTACATGCATTCCCTTGCTTTTGGGAACGCATTGGGTCCTTATGTATGTTGTGACATTGAAACCAAATGTTATGTACAGTGTTTCCAATGTATTACTGTTTGAGTATTGAGAGTCGTTTCTCGAAACATACTAAACGATTTATTACAATAATGGAAAAGCATCACGAAGTGCCTTTGGCTATATAATGCAGTTTGGACTTACGAAAAAGCTGCAAGTTGCTAAGTTATTTAATTTATTTTAATAATTGTAATGTTACTGTTTTTGCGGGGTTGCTGTGAGTTGTCCGAACTGTCTGGCTATGTTCCAGAAGCATCCTCTCCTGACGTTTCTCCCACATCTACAGCAGGCATCCCCAGAAGTTGTGATGTCTGTTGGAAACTGGGCAAGTGGGGTTTGTATATCTGTGGAATGATGTCCAAGGTGGGAGAAAGCTCTTGTCTGCTGGAGGCAAGTGTGAATGTTGCGATTGGCCACCTTAATTAGCATTGAATGCCCTTGCAGCTTCAAAGCCTGGTTGCTTCCTGCCTGGGGGAACCCTTTGTTGGGAGGTGTTGTCTGTTGGAGGCAAGTGTGAATGTTGCCATTGGCCACCTTGATTAGCATTATCATTATCAAAAGTTATTATAGAATCCTAGAGTTGGAAGGGACACCAAGCGCCATCCAGTCCAACCCCATTCTGTTATATAGGAAGACACAATCAAAGCCCTCCCAACAGATGGCCATCCAGCTTCTAAACAGAGAAAGAATCTCTACTGGACTTCCAGGCAGCCTATATTTCACCAGATTTGGAAGATAAAACCCAAACGCCACCCAGTCTAACCTTATTGTGCCATGCAGGAAGGCACAATCAAAGCCCTCCCAACAGATGGCCATCAGCCTTTGCTTAAAACCCCCGAGAAGGAGACTTCATCACCATTATCATTATTATTATTATCAAAAGTTATTACAGAATTCTAGACTTGGAAGTGACCCCAAGGGCCATCCAGCCCAACCCCATTCTGTTATATAGGAAGACACAGTCAAAGCCTTCCCAACAGATGGCCATCCAGCCATCCAGGAAGGCATCTAGACTGGACTCCCAGGCAGTCTATATTTCACTAGATTTGGAAGATAACCCCCCCCCCCAACGCCTTCCAGTCCAACCCCATTCTGTTATACAGGAAAACACAATCAAATCCTTCCCAACAGATGGCCATCCCACTTCTGCTTAAAAACCTCCAGAAAGGGAGACTTTATCACCATTATCATTATAATTATCAAAATTATTATAGAATCCTAGAGTTGGGACCCCAAGGGCCATCCAGTCCAACCTCATTATGTTATATAGGAAGACGCAATCAAAGCCCTCCCAACAGATGGCCATCCAGCCTCTAAACAGAGAAAGATTCTCTACTGGACTTCCAGGCAGCCTACATTTCACTAGATTTGGAAGATAAAACCGAAAGGCCATCCAGTCTAACCCTATTGTGCCACACAGGAAGACACAATCAAAGCCCTCCCAACAGATGGCCATCCAGCCTCTAAACAGGAAGGCATCCCTACTGGACTCTCAGGCAGTCTATATTTCACTAGATTTGGAAGATAACTCCCCCAAAGGATATCCAGTCCAACCCTATTGTGCCATGCAGGAAGACACAATCAAAGCGCTCCCAACAGATGGCCGTTCAGCCACTAAACAGAAAGAATCTCTGCTGGACTTCCAGGCAGCCTATATTTCACTAGATTTGAAGATAAAACCCAAAGCCCACTCAGTTTAACCCTATTGTGCAATGCAGGAAGACACAATCAAAGCCCTCCCAACAGATGGCCATCCGACCTCTGCTTAAAAGCCTTAAGAAGGAGACTTCATTACCATTATCATTATTATTATCAAAAGTTATTACAGAATTCTAGAGTTGAAAGGGACTCCAAGGGCTGTCCAGCCCAACCCCATTCTGTTATATAGGAAGACACAGTCAAAGCCCTCCCAACAGATGGCCATCCAGCTTTTAAACAGGAAGGAATCTCTACTGGACTCCCAGGCAGTCTATATTTCACTAGATTTGGAAGATAGAACCCAGAGGCCATCCAGTCTAACCCTATTGTGCCAATCAAAGCCCTCCCAACAGATGGCCATCCAGCCTCTGCTTCAAAACCAACAGAGCAGGAGATTGGTTGGAAGTTAAGTGTTTATATT